AATTTGGATCTTGTGATTATGACTTGGGAGCACTACAACTGTGCTATAGATCTACAGGTTTAAAGAGTTTTTTTGAGTATAGTATTTATATTTAATTATACTTAAATTTATTTTTTATAGTTTTTTTTTTCTTTTATTGTATAAATTTTATAGAATTATATTTTTTATTAATATATATAAATTCATAATTTTAGCTTTTATATTGTTATAAATTTGTTAGCAAGTAACTATATATATTTTAATTAGATCTATCTATATAAGTAAATATATATATTCTATTTTTATATACTGTATAATTATCATCTTTTTAAAAAGATGTATGATTCTTTTTTAATTTTTTCTAGATCAATTTTATTTGAAAGTAGTTTAATTATCAAGTTATTGAATTTTCTTTATCTTGAATTTTTAAAATTTTTCAGTTCTTCAAAATAGTTTGTTAAATTTTTTTCTATCAAGGTTTTCCAATTGTCAAGTTTATAAAAATTCAGTATAGTTATATGCTTAAATTATTTAATAAATATTTTAATACTAGAACAGAAATCAGTTTTTTTTATTAATTTATCATTTTTTTTTTAGCAATATGTTATCTGTTCAATATTTATTCTTATTATTATAGGTTCTTTTCAATAATATAATTATATTAGAATAATTTTACCTAATTTCATATATTTAATCATATTATAACATTTATATAAACTATTCTATTTGATTATTTATTCAATTGTATTTAAAAGTACTTGTTACTTTACAGTTATATCAATAAGATAGATTTATTAGTATTAGGATTTATCTCCTGAAGAATTTGATTTAGTGACCTTATAATTAAAAATAAATTTTCAAAAGAGAAAACAAAGATGAAAATTAAATGTGATTTATTAGGAAACTTTAAATATTTAAATTAATAACTATAAAAAACCTATATAGAATAGTTCTCTATTTATAAAATCTTTGATTTATAATATTTCTTGAATTTTGTTCCTATTAAAGTGAAGAGTTATAAATTTTTTTCTCCCAAAAGAGACATAAGTGATCTGTGAAATCTTATATGCAAAATATTTTAGGGACCCATCATTATTTGTGATATAATCTATGGAGTGCTAACCACTATACTATTGATCCATATGTTGCTTAATGGATTATTGTTTGTTAATGAATTATTTATATACTATATTCTGTAATGACAAGTATTTACTTTTGTTTAAATATTTTTGAATAAAAATAAATTAATGTAAAATTTTTTTGAAAAAAATAAATGATATTTAAAAATTCTTTTATTTTAATTGTTTATTTGTTTGTTTTTTATTTATTCATTTTATTTTATTCTCATTGTTACTTTTACATTTTTACATAAAGTAAAATTTAACGAACAACGTGTAATTATTAATAATCGACCTTTCATATTGTATATTTTTGAATGATGGGATCAATGATTCCTGAAATGGCTTTTATTAAAACTATCATATCTTATCACAAGTTCTTTTCATTTTATTCTATTTTTAATTTGAATTATACAACTTTTTTTCTAAAAAATATTTTATTTAAAACGAAATCAATTATTTTAAGATAAAAAAATCGTGGATTAATATTTTAACTTTATCTGGAAAAAAAATTTTTTTTTTTTTGTTTAATTCATAAAAGAATTTTGATGATTAAATATGATCGGAATTATAAAAATTCAGCTTAGGCATTCAAATTGAGTCATTGCAAGTTTGATATAAGCATCGAAATCAAATACAGTAAATACAACAAAGACAATAACCGAAATGTTCAAGTGATTTAAGTTAAGTATAATCTTTGTTAACGCATGAGACTTCCAAATTACTTTATTAAAAAGATAGATCTATCACTGCTAAATTGGAACGATAAAATTTCAATTAACGGCAAATTACGAAAGTTCTTCCGCATTCAGTTTCATAATTATATTTAAAAAAATCGTTTAAAATCGGATCCATAACGATGGTAACAAACTTACCTATACATTATCATTACATTAAAGTTTTCAACAAGAGGTAATTAATTAGGAGTTTGGTGTCCTTGACCTTGTGCAATAAAAGTTGTGGTTCACGCCACCGTTTTATTCACCTAGAAAGGTGGCGTGTGAGTGAAACCTTTATGTTATATATTTGTACACATGCGCCTCCTTCATTGCCACGTTATTTTTGTAATCGATTGACATACATACATATTAATATACTTTATCCTTACGTAATCAGTATCTTCACGGAGAGTTTGTGTTAATGAAGAATTTTTTTTCTCTTTAGTCTCTTTCATCCATTAAGTACTTATTCACGACACATCACCGCCCAAAAATAAATACGCAATGGGAATGACATTCAATACGTTGATGTGATTTATGTAAATATGAAAGGAGAATTAATATCATTATAGATGGCTTGTTTCCTCTAAAAGAGTGTTATTTAAACTGATTAGATCAGTTATTAACTACGCATGCCAGCAAACATCCCGTATTTTGTTATCTTTCTAATCTTCTCTCACAAAGGAATATTCTAATGCATTTCATCGCGGACCCTGTCTTTGCTTAATTTTAATTAATTAAAAAAAAAATGGAATGGGTAGTCTGTCATATCAATTTATCGATAATGCGGATACTTCTTTGCCATACAAAGAAGTTTGTGCACATAAGCAACGGGAGATTGATTTCCTCTGAGTCCCGTCCGTTTTGGTATAGCTCGCTGGAAGGATATGACGTGATGTAGAACCCTGTCCGAAGTCTTGATGTAATTAACCAAATAAGTTATTATCAGACGCGAAGCTTTTCTTTTAAACAAAATAAATTATTCTTTTAAACACGGACATGAGTTCCTTTCACAATTTAATTATGAAATTTTTTGCATTTTTCTTTGTTATTGGTGAGACGGAATTTCGCGTTAACATATGTCGTATGCATATATTGAACAAATCATTACTTCTTGCAAAACGTATGTCTCACTGTTTTATATTACATATTCCAATTTATAGCAAAATATGCAATTTCTTCCAGTGCATTGTCTTCACAAATATAAAAGAGAGGCTCGATTCTTTTGCAAATGGTGGGAAATCTTTATTTGCGTAAACCAGATTTTTCTTTAATTTTCTTTCGCTTTTCAATTTACGCATAACAAAACACGCGATCTCCATTTGACCTTTAAAAAAAAACAGAAAATTGAGATAGTAAAAAAATCCCCTTGAATATGAAAGAGAAAAATAAATCGACGAAAAAAAATTCCGAAGCTTCCCTCGCTAAAAGAAAAAGACATCTTAATTGCTTTATCTTGTTTCACGACGATCTCCGTAATTCTGACAAAGAAATTGATGCTAATCGAAAAAAAAGCGCAAAATTGGCATCAAAACTCTGGGAAGACATGCCGCCAAAGGAGAAAAATTATTATAAGATTCGTGCACATAATGAATCAAAGCATGAAATCCCGGTTGAAATTTCTTCTATTTATGATTGGGCTTTGGAATCTAAACTAAACAATATTTCTCACGACAATTCAAACGAAATCATCCAATTCAATAATTGTACCGCGTATACACCAGAAATATTTGTGTCATCCGCTGAGTGCACAGTGAACGAGGCCGAATCAACCATAAATTACGTATTGAATAATTCCATCATGTGCACACCAAACGAATTTGCGTCATCTGCAAAGTACACAATGAACGATTCCATCGTCAACTATTTTCCTACATCCGTTGTGCACACACCGAATTATACATTGAATGAACACATTTTAAACGCGCAAAATGAATTTACAGCGCCCGTCCAAAATACACAATACGGATACACACCACCTATGGATTTTACATCCAATGAGCCTATCATATACAACACGACGATGAATGAACCTGGGCCTATTTTAAACGCGCGAAATGAATTTATAGCGCCCGTCGAGAAAACACCATACGGATACACACCGCATATGGATTTTACATCCAATGAGCCTATCTTATACAACACGACGATGAACGAACCCGAGCCCATTTTAAACGCGCAAAATGAATTTATAACGCCCGTTGAGAATACACTAAACGGATTCACGCCACTTATGGATTTTACATCTAATGAGCCTATCTTATACAACACGACGATGAACGAACCCGTACCTTCCATATATTACGCACACGACGAATTAGCTTTGTTATCCACCAGCCATGATTCAAATTCAACCATCTACGAACACGAACTTATTAACGAATGCAGCGAAAACGCGCAAAACAGCTTTACACTATACAATATTTACGATGAAACGACTCTAAATGGTTTTTCGAGATCTAATTTGAATTGTTTTTCGACTATAGCATTCAATTTTCCACAAGCGTCACCCGTAGTCACATCATCTGACTTTACGCAGTCAGCGCCATATGACTCCCGGCTTGCGCCAACGGAATTTGATCCCCAATAATCTCTTTTAAACTCTTTTAACGTGACAAAATCGAATACAACATTGAAAAATCGAATATAATGCGGAAAAATCGAATACAATATCGAAAAATCGAATACAACATGAAAAATCGAATATACATAATGCGGAAAAGTGAATACAACATCGAAAAATCGAATATAATGCGGAAAAATCGAATATAATGCGGAAAAGTCGAATACAACGTGAAAAAATCGAATATAATGCGGAAAAATCGATTGTAATCGGAAAGTCGAATATAATGCGGAAAAAACAATTGTAATTGAAAAGTCGAATATAATGCGGAAAAATCGAATATAATCGTAAAATCGAATATAACAAGGCAAATCTTTTAGAATCACAAAACTTATCATTCTTTACTATTAGAACGCAGTAGGATGGTACAAAGGCGTCCTTTTATTTTCAATGCTAAATAACGGCGATTACTCAAGCGTCTGTAAAACTCGATAAAAAAGTGTCAAATAAAAATTCGTTAATCTTTATTTTGATTACGCCAATAAATTTTATTATGAATAAATAAAGTACAAAAATGTATTCATTTTTTTTTTCAATAATAATAATAATAATAATAATAATAATAATAATAATGTCAAATGAACGTAAAGCTGATTAGTAACTCAAATTGCTGAAAAGCCTTTGTTGTTTTTTTTTACCATTGAATACTGTAAAACTTGTCATTTAATATACCAAAAAATTTTTTGTTTGTTTGTTACTAATGAATAATGTTATCAATTTATTGAACTGCTTTCAATGAAAATTAGGTATATGTATTCGGTTGGCATATTTTTTAATATTTAGTACAGAGAGTGTATAATTAAAACAATGAAAGAAAGTGATATACATACTGACAGGCCTAATCAAAATACATAGACATTCTATTATTTACATATTTGCTTATCGGATATTATGCACACTCATAGCACCTATAATATAATTAAACGCATCATAATCATATGTGCCAACAAAGAGTTACATCAATATACTGAACCTAATAAAATAAATTTAACACGTAACCATCTGCATTTCATTACATAACAGTGCATCTTTACCTAAAAATAATGCCATGCTCATTTCAACAGGTTGCGTCGACTAATGGCGTAGCGAATAGATACACAAAGATGAATACTACGAACGAAAGTCTAATATTTGGACATAACAAAGTTAAAGGGATAATATTTACGGGTTACAGAAGACGGTAGTATCAATTCTGTCCTCGAATGGTCGTCATGTTAAAAGTAAATACCGGTGTTGAAGCATTGACATCATCCTTTACTACGTACTGCGCGGATTACATGCTCAATGATAATGTTTTGCGCTCGAAATATGTAATAATATCGGAATCTGGATTACTTAAGTAGCGGTACGTGTGAGCATCAATTACACAATGTACTTGGGTTTCATTTTCGGTGTGTGTTTACCTATTACATAATGAATGTGTTGGAAGATACGGCACTTACGAATATGTGTAGTGCATAAATAACATCCATCATGTTAAATATTTTTTACTCATTTTTTAGTAAAATCAATAGTAGACGTTCTTACAGAATCGTAGATGAAAATCCGTTTCTTTGAAACTTTGAAACGTCAAATAATCGAATTATTATTTCGTGCATCCTTATTTAATATGTAGGATGCCAGAAAATGAAAGGTCTCAATTATTATTTTGGAATTTTCTTATAGATAAAGGTACTGTAATATAATTTACTGCCGCCGTAATTAAACAGCATGCTGAATTGCATTTTTTTCAATATTCTATTCTTTTTTTAAACGCATGTTTAATAGCATGTCATTCATGCCTTTAAAATAATATTGATCGTCATTAATGATGTACTTTATGCGATTAGGTAATGTTTTGGAAATTCCAGTTACCCAAAAACATGCTTTAGTTAAGGGTTACGTAAATCTAAAACTTACTTAGAACGTATTACGTGAACCTTTTCTAAATGAAATGTGACAAATCTTTTTTTCTATCCATATGATACTCCTTGTCGAATGTAAAAAGTCCGAATGCTGTTTATTATTGCCCTATTTGTATGTCGTGTAATGCTTCACTGCAAATCCTGCAGTCGCCGCATGTCATTCATTTTTTGCGATTTTCTCACAACAATATTAACTCACTCAAGTGTGAAATTTACTCAATTTGTTGATTAAATAATAGTGTCAATTAAAAACAAACAGAAATCTCTTTAAATTGAATTGCCATATAAATAAATTTATCATATTTACCTCCTGCCAAATTTTATTTCGAGCATACTGTATAAAACAAAGCTTTTTTAAAATACAATTACCTCTGTAAATGTACGCTTTTTAAAGATTTTTTATATAAATCATATACTCTTCTAACAATTAATTTACACAAAAAACGAATGTCGAATAAATTATTGTTTCAATCGATACATTGTATCGTATTGTTTTTTTAAAAGTATACTGCACAAATTGATCTTATTGTATTTTGATTTAAATAATTCTAGAATAATCAAACATTTAAATTCAAATTCATTTAGGTGCATTTTTGTAATCGGTAAATGCAAGTTAATACTTAATGCTATAAACAAATTTTATCATGTATAAACTTCCGTTTTTAATTATATTACTTTGTATGAAACGATCAAGATGTTAAAAGGATTGTTTTTTAAACATACATTTACTGGTTATTGTTACAAAATTTTTTGTTTATTTTTGATAACTGACAATATAAATTATAAAACAAGAATATAGAATGTTTTAAATACTTTTCATTAGAAATATGTTTTTACCTAACATATATGTATATATATATATACAGTCTGGTGCAAAAGTCTTTGAATTAATATTTTTTAGTGTAATTTAATAAATAAATTCAAACAAAACTTTAATATTTTTTTTATAATATTATCATGATTATTTATTTAAAGTTTTGTCAATTATTAATTATTAATTATGAAATATTAATTTGAAGTAAATAATAATAATAATAATAAGTACTATTATTGATAAATTTTATATATAATATTTACATATAAAAATAGTAAAAATATAATTTTTACAAATTTCTATAAAATTAATTATAAAATCAAAAAAGAATGTTTTTTAATAATAATTTTTTATTAAATACAAAAAAATTCCTTATGATTAAATTATTTTTTATCATATAAATTTAATTTTAAAATTTTGATTTTACTATAATATATATATATATAATTTTAAAAATTATTAACTATTTGATTTAATTTATAATTAATAAAAAAATTTTTGTTAATATAAAATTTATAAAGTTATTTTATTAAATTATTTGGTTTTATTTAATAACTCTATTCATTAAAATAATTTCAATAAATTTTTATTCACTTGTAATATAGAATAGAATTTTAAAATATTATAAATAATCAATTCTTTATATCCAAATTTAATATTTGTAATTTTTTTAAAATATTTTTAAATAATTTTCTAAAGCAAGTTTATTTTTTATATTTTAAAAAATATAAACATCAATTTTTATTTTATTTATTGATTATCAAATTATGAATAAAAATTGTAAGTCATATTTGTTCAAAAAATTTTGTATCATATTGCTTATTATATAAAATAATAATATGTTTTTATATTTATCCAAAAATAATCATAAGTTTTAATTTTACTCAAATTTATATAGTATAATATATTATGTCAATATGTAATTTTAAAATTCTAAATTCTAAAAGTAATATTAAAAATTTTTTAAAAATGCAATTGAAAAAATAATTAAATGAAATTTATAAAATTTTGATAATACAATATACTAAAAATTATATATATTTAAAATAAAAATTCGAAAATAAAATGATAAAATCCCAATGATCTTAAATTATTATTATTATTATTAAAATAATACATTAAATCAAAAGTTTTCTGATTTCTTTTTGTATATAAATATTTATTCGTACAGTATATATGTTTATAAAACTATGTTATTTGTTCATGAAATTTTACCTTAAAAATTTAGCTAATTAAAAAAACAAATACACGTGTTATACTATATTACGATATTGCAATTTCCTGATTTGAAGAAATACATCCGCTCAATTTAAAATACTTGAACAAATTTTATCATTTTAAAATAATCAGTTGGATTTAAAATAATTTTAATAATTTACTTTTTTCATGAAATCATTATTATACGTGTATGTATGTATGTATGCATGCATTATTTCAATTAGTGAATTAAGCGTTCAAAATTATAATCATGTAAATTATAATTCTATTTCTTTAAAAATTGACCAATAGTCGTCACTTTTAAAAACTTTACTTTAATATAATATGAATTCGTACTTTACAATTAAAAAATTATTAGTTCTGCAAAATATTTTTCCGAAGAAATCAAATGATCACGGATGCGGATTTCATAATTCCGACCGGATAAAATTTATCCTAACCCGGTATCGTTGCCCACGTGCGTGCCACCACTATTCCGGTCAAGTCTGTGCATTACACTAGCTTGGTCAATAATCCATTTCCATTATGTGTTTCTTTAAATGCAATCGATCATCATATACAGTGCCTGCATTGTTTAAATGTACATATCCAGATCATCGGATTATATTTTTAGATGGCTCCCTAGTATAAATATATCACGTCAGAAATCATATAGTCACAGTCAGTCTGTATGTAAATATGAAAGGAAGAAACATGCCAATTGACATCATGTCTGCTTATAATGAATGACTTGTCTGCCTCGAGAAGTTTATTTATATGAGTATTTTGGGGGATTAGTTGTTAATCATCTAACACGCCACTGGTAGATACCGTATCTTTATATTGCTCAAAGAATTTTCAAAATTCAATTTTTTCCTCCTTTTCTACTCACAGTAAACTATTAAATTTAATTTAAAAGCACGAGTGTCTTTCATGTTACCTTATTTTCATCATGACCGTTACTCTTTTTATGTAAAAAATATTTCCGCGCATAATGAACGGAACTTCGCCCTCCTTTGAGTATTGTGTGCCTTTTTAGGTCGCTAAAAAAATAAAGCACGTAACAAGGAAATTGTTAACAAAGTTTATATTTAATTTACTAAATAAATACTAAAGAACGAATTTATCCTAGGCTCCCATACATCGGATCTTGATCTCCTCATATTAAAAGGCTATGCGCCTAATGAGACATAAAACTCCGCGTTGCTTTCATATATGTATGTATGTATATATTTTTTTAATATCAAATATTCTGTAAATTTCGTGAGTTTTTTACAATTTATCCTTGTTGCTTTGCGTTGAAAAGTATAAAAGGGCAGCGAGAATTCCTAGAACATTTGTATTCCATTACCAAGATCGAGTAAACGACGATTCCACGAAAATGTCTTTGGTTACGTGTAATCGAAGAAAATCAAAACGTCAAGTCACGCGTCGCTCTGCCAGTAACAACCCAAAATTAAAAAATAATGTTATCATTAATAAGAAAGATAATCATCCATGGAGATTATATCTAAAGTGGTATCACAATTCCATAAGTAAAATTATTAGCTGCAAGATTAGCAAGAGGGTAAGCTCGAAATTGGCATCACTTTTCTGGAAAGAAATGTCACGTGAGCGCAAAAATCATTTTTTGATGCTTGCGCATAGTCACACAAACCTCGATCATGTTTTCTCACTTGACGACTGGACTTCCGAGTCTCATCCGATCAACTCCCCATACTCACTGACCACATCTCCTGAACTGGCTCCGCCCATCGAGTGCACTCAACTTTTGCCGTTCACCAAGTATACTGCGCCCACAGAGCATTTTTTATTTACTGGATTTCCACCAGATAACTCTGCTATACTCTCATTACCACCATCGGGACATGAAAACTCTGAGTTTGAAATACCAGCAGTGTCGTCATCTGATTCTTCTCAATCTGAGTTTGTCGATCCTGCGTCGATCGCTTCATCTTCGGAACTTTTATTTTCAGATCCAAATGAATCCTCAGCATCAGCATCATCAGAAAGTACCGAGTTTGATCTCTCTCTACTCACACCGTTAGAGTTCTCGCAGTCCACATCATTATCTGAACTTGTCACATTCACATCTCCATTTTCACATTATGAATTTGGGCATACAGAATTCGACTTCCAATAACTTTTGTTTGATGAAATTTAAAGTGGAAACATCGAATGCAATATTACTTATATAAATTAATGAAAGCTGTAACAAAGGATTTATGGACCACTAGATCGCCGAATGCCTACATCATAAATATGAGAACGAGAACTAAAACCACGTGAAATAGAACACATCCAATTCACATTGGATACTTAAATAATAGTATATTATTGAACTTAAATTATAATTTAATGACTTAAATAACTGATAAAAGAGGGAGCACATACAGGATACTGTATTTCTTCTAGTTATAAAGTAAAATAATATATATTTTTCAACATTAATAAATATCAAATGTGACTACATACATTTAAAATACGCAGATGTGCTTATCAAATCTCATTGTTCTGTTTGAATAAGATCTACTTTTCTACATTTTTGTATGACCACCGGATATGCAAAGTAACCAATATTACTTTTACAGCAACGGAATTGTTCTAAGCTCTGCATGCGGATTTTTATCAAAACGTTTATCAATTATTTACTCGTAATGCACATTATTGTTTTCTGCGAATTGATCCTAAATGATGTTTTGTTAATATAGTCGATTACATAATGGCATGAAGTGCACGTACCCCTCATTTAAATCGAGTAATATAATCTTATGGTACACTCACCTGACAAAAGTATCCGATCACATGAAGATCACTACTCAAAGAATCAAACTTTATTCGTGAATCACTCTAAATTTAATGCATAAAAATGCATCAAAATTTTTTTCCTATGTAGCAACAAACTTTCTTTATTCAAAAATAAAAAAAAATTGATACCTAAAACTCACGAACTTATCAATTTGAGCATGACAAAATTATTGATCTGTGATAAGATGTTCATATTGAGTGCAATATTAAAGATATTCTTAATCATCAAAAATAATTATTCATGATATTATTAAAAAATATAAGGCAAATCAACAAACTATTATCATTTTTAGATCTGGTATATCATCTAAATTGATAGAAAAAGACATTAGACATCTTGTAAAAACTATAAAAGAAGATTGACAACAATTTTTTGAATGAAATAATAAAAAAATTTGATCCATCATTAACAATCTCAATAAGCTTTTATATTATTTAACAAATTTTATATGATAAAAGATTTTATGATCAAGCTGAAAAAGAAAACCTTTAGTATCTGAAGAAAATTGTAAAAAAAAAGATTATAATAGTGTTATATTGGAAAAAATAAGGGTTCAGAATCAAATACAATAATATGAAATAACAAATTTCATTTTTTATTATTTTAAAATAACTTATATTATTGAAGTTGAAAATATTCACATGAAAAAATATGATATAAGTTATTTAATTCCAAAAATAAAATCAAGAAACCAAGGTATAGTGGTATGGAGATACTTTACAAAAAATAAGATTGGATCTTTAATTCAAGTTTTTAATAAAATTATAGAATTATATATATTAAAATCTTAGAAAATAATTTTTTACTTTTTATTAATAAATTAGATAATAATTTAGAATATATTTTTCAAAATAATAATATTTTAATTCATTAGGTAAAATAGTTAAATAATGGTTAGAAAATAATTCAATAATAAAATTTTTTAATCTATACAATTATGATATCTTAATATAATTGAGCATTTGTGGGATATTTAAAAAAAAAAAAAGGTTTATAAACATGATCTTTATTCAAAAAATCTTATATAATTAATGATTATTTTAAAAAAATAATAAAATTAGATTGAATAAGAAATTTAAAAATTTAATAGAAAATATATTAAGAAGAATTTAAGCTATAATTATAGTAATAAAAATCTAATAAAATATTAATAGTAATAAAAAAATTTAAATCTTTATAAATATATTAAAATAAATTTTATTAAAAATTATTTAATAATTTCTTTAATAATAATAAAATAAATTTTGTTTTAAATTTTAAAAATTATAATGATCAATATGTAATTAAAAACTTTTGACAAGTGAGTATATATAATATAGTATGTATTATATTACCTTGCTATTGCAATATATTAAATTTTAATTCAAATAATTAAAAAACAAATTTTAAAAAAATGTAATTCTAAACTTTAAAATCAATATTTTTTTGATATGAAGTATAATATTTTTGAAATTTTAAACAATTTAATATTTATTTCAATATTGTATACTTATTATATAATATTTATTATTTAAACAAATTCAAATTGTTATATAATATTATAATAATAATTATTGTTGTTATTATTAATAATATTTTATATTGACTTAACTATTGTTTTATTAAATAATATTTACAGTATATAATACAAAGTATATATAATTATATAAAAGTAAATAAAATATAATAGATTTTAATAAATTATTTCAGTTATAAAAATTTAATATATAGTATATAAAAATTATTTTAGAATTTTTTTTTTTTTTTGCTAATTACTTAAAAACTATTATATAGAAATCAATAAAAATATATATCAAAATAAAACTAAAAATTAGAAATTTTATTAAAATATAAATAATAAACAATTAATTATTTTATTTTTTATTTCAATTAATATTTTATATATCTCTTTTATTAAATCTATAAAATTTTTTTTTTTTTTTAAGCTGGCAAAGTTATGCCTATAGTTTTTATTTAATTATTAATAGACTCGGTATCATTCGAACCCTGCAACTTGTTGCAGTTCACCCTGGTGAATGAATATTAGCATGTCATGACTCCATTAACACTAATACTTACAGAAAATAAAGAGTTAATTGAAAAACCATTTTGTATAATGTTTTTCATGTTGTGGTTTGTTAAGTCTATCCATAACTGTGTAGCAGTATTGGGTACTTTGTTGTTTAGTGATGTTTCCCCATCCATTGGGCATTTATCGATACCATTTGTTAATCTTTTCTTCATTATTTTTGTTATTCCCTGTGTTTTTTCCCACTCTACTACCAATTCGCATCTTAGCTTCCAGACTCTCTTCTTTTCCTCCCAAAAGAGTGCTGTGGCTGACTTGATCACTGTTTTTGCTGATTCGATGTTTTCTATAATTTTCTCCGTAGTTTTTATTATTTTGTGGCTGATGACTCCTCTGATAATATCTGTCCAATCCATATTTTTGTGTGAGAAATGCAATGTATTTTTCTATTAGTCTTGTCTTGTTAGGTCTACATGTGAAGAGGTGCAAGTCTTTCTCTTCTTGCTTTCTGCAAATTGTGCAGATAGGGCTTTTGTATAGATGTGGTTTTCTTTTATGCAGGTTGCCCATTGTAGGATGCTCGTTGAGCCATGTCTTGAAGCAGAATGTCCCGTCATTATGGTCCTTGGCGTCTGTTTGCATTGTTGTGATTTTGGATGGAGTGATTGTTTGCATAGTCATATTCCAATCGATATCCTTGACTTTGGATCCGTTTAACCAGTCTTGTGTATGTCTTAGGGTTCTCCATTTACTTGCTCATTTTGTCTTGAGCAAGATCTTCCCAATTATTTTGAAGGAAAGGTCTATGAAGGATTGGTCCCATCTGAGTGTTGCCATGTTACTCGTAGTGTTCAACTCTTGGATCTTGACTATGTCTTTATAATTGTCTACTAGTGTTGTTGCCTCGAGTTTATTTGCTCGTTCATTTCCATGGATTCCAGAGTAGCCCTTGATCTTGATCCAGGTGACTTGCATGTTTTGTGTTATTATAATTTCGCAGATTGTATTTACCAGGCTACTATTTGGATGTTCTTGTTTTTCTTTGTCCTTAGGTGTTCTTTAGAGTTTCTTTTTTATCGCATTGATTGCTCCTTGGCTGTTTGTTAAGATGTTCACTTTCTTATGTACACTCATTATACTGATTGCTGTTAGTATTGCAATAAGCCCTGCTCTTGTGAAGAATGGAGTGTCTTGTGTTTCAGCTTGGAATGTTGCAACTTCTGTTTCTTCCTTTGTTATAGCTACCCAGCCTATTCCCATCCTGCTATTCCTGTAGCGTCTTGAAAATAAGCCATCAGTGTATATCTGTAGGTTGTTATGTAAGGCCAGTTCTTGTGCTATCTGTTGGAGTTTGAGAAGTGTCCTAGAAGGACCTTTCAGTCTCTTCAGGATTAATGCTTTTATGTTTAATAATGAATCAAGGTTTATGGTTGGAGGGGTTGTATTAGGGAGCCGTGTATTGATTTCTCTTAGGGCATGCTCTATGCCTTGTGGAGAGAATTGTAGTCTGTTGATGTAGGGTTTCTTCGAATTGATTTCTTGTTGACTGGAAAGGCACCCCTTTGTACTTTTTTGAACGTTTATGTTAACGGACCTTGTCATTAGTTGGGATATTATGTATTGTTATTGATCCTTGTAGCCTTTCCTGAGTTCTGGATTGTTGAAGGGGCAGCCTTTACACTTGAAAATTGGGAATGTCTGTTCTTCCCGGATCATATGGTTGACTATTATATGTTAATTGTTTCTGAGTTTCTTCTTCTTTGTTATTATTGTTGTCCCATTCCTTTTTGTTGCTAGCCACTTTATTCTTTGTGGTCATTGGGTGGGTAGCATTGGTGTGTTGATCCAGTATTTGTTCATTACAGGTGAACTGATGCTGTCATTGTTGGTAAATACTATCCTTTTCTGCTTCTCAATCTGTGTTGCTGCCATACTGACTGTGATATTGTTCAGTTCCTTGAACCAGAAATGTGTTCTGCCTTGTTTCCCTCATCTGGCTCTTACCTGTTGCCATGATAAGTTTCTTGTTTGATTATTATTAAGTAGTTGATTATAGAAAAGAATTCCTCTACGTCTAAGGGAGTCACTATGTTTGTCATACTATTCCTCAGGTACTATTTCCTTGATTGCTATACCTTCCTTCCTAACTGGTTTTCCAAACCATGAATGTTTTACTGGAGCAAGTGTAATGCCTTGCAGTTTGAGTATGTTGAGAATCTCATTTGTCAAGCTTCTTTTCCTTTTTTTCCAGAAGGGCTGTCTGTCCATCAGGATCGATGTATTAGACCAGTATTTGTTCTGAAGGTGTTGTAGTCTAAACTATGTT